AAAAGATACATGGCATTATGATATATTACATTTATATATTTACATTTTGAAACTACACTCACAGCTTGACGTCTTCATTTTTCCAATTTATTTCATCACCATTAAAAAAACAAAAAACAAAAAAAAAAACTCTTGGTTGGGCGTACCGGGGGAAAAAAGTACAAACACGAGTAATGTTTAACATAATTTATATTTATTTTCTTTTGAACAAAATGTTAATAAATGTATTTGTTTCACGTCCAAAAAAGATCATGACTCGTGGGACGCTTTTTATAAATAATTTCATCCAAGTCTTTTGTAGAAAAAAAGAAAGGAAATTAGCAAACTAAAGCATCTCTAGTATGACAATATGACAACTTTATCGTATTTTTTCTCTATATTTGAACCTTTCCCCTCATTTCAAGCTTGTCTTTTATATATTTACGGATATATTTTAAAGACCTCTTTATGTCATCCCCTTTAACATCCAACTTAGTCCTACTCTTCAACTCACAACACTGCTTTAGACAACGAAAATGTGGCAAAAACCTCAAGAAACGGACAAAAACAAAAGAGGCAAACAGAAAACACAATGAGATTCCAAAGGGCGGGTGGACTGGAGGTACAGGTTGATTGGGAAAGTCAGGAAGGGGTCATGGTGGGCCTCTCACATCCTCAGGACATATTTACAACAGAAATGACAAGGGGTGACAAGGGTGGCGGCAAAGGTGGCTGAGGAAAAGTGAGAGTTTGAGGCGGGGTTCATCTGCATAGATCCACAGGACGCAATCGGTTAAAAAAAAGAAAAATAACTAAATCGTAGGGACTTCGCAAGAAGTGTGGGCCTAACGTTTGCTGCGTTCTATGGGGGGGAACATAGTCGTCACTGTAATTGGGGAAAAAAATGGAAAACAAGAACGGGGATAAATTACGGACTGCGAGGCAAACTGCGGACTCGACTTTCATGCGACTTCCCACTTTGATGTGTAAATGTGGCGCAAATTAAAAACCGGGATTCAAGGCAAGGTAAGGTCAAGATACTAACGGGAGTACAGGGTGCCGATATGCTCCGAAAACACAGCGCTTCCAACTGTCTTTAGCTCGTCGTTAAGAGATTGAACGTAGAACTAACCCGCAGCCTCATTAGGAAGGGTTTGCACGCTACGACTTTTGGAAACTCGTTACCTCGTTTTGAGGCGAAAATCGTGTTAGAAAAACGGGGAGTGGCACTGAAGCAGAAATGACCTAACGGGACCTGTGAAAGAAAATCAAAAAGAAGTGGGGGAAATACAAATCCAATGAATAAGCCCTTAAAAACTCCTCAACCTCCTCGCATACCGACCGACTCTTCGCTGGTCCGTGAAAGATAGTAACTGATCAGCTTGTTGGTGACTGAAGTGTCAGTGGTTTGATTGATTGTTTGATTGGCTGGTCACTTGCACCAACTCAGTGATACACAAAGCCATCGTAGTGACTAACCCAGGACTCTTTTCTGTCCCATATTGCTATATTGCCAGTATCTGCCTCACCTGAAAGGTACTCGAGTATCCAGGAGCCTCATTCATCAAGACTTTTCTCCAGAGACCAGAAAGATTTTACGTTACTGCACTCGACGAGCGGAAATGGGTTTGGACTTCACCTTGCCATGGGAAGTTTCACAAACTTTCTTAAAGGGATCTCTGACTTCTTGCACATATTGGCTGTATGTCTTGTTTCTATTTTACTCTATTCTAGTAAAAGTTCATCGAGAAGAGCCAGTTCAGGGGATTCGGACATCTGGTGAGGATGCTCCCTAGGCGCCTCCCTAGGGAGGTGCTTCTGGCATGTCTGACTGGGAGGAGACCCCGGGGAAGACCCAGGACACGCTTGAGAGACTACGTCTCTCGGTTGGCCTGGGAACACCTTGGGAGTCCTCCCACAAGAGCTGGAAGAGGTGGCTGTGGAAAGAGAGGTCTGGACCTCCCTGATCAAGATGCTGCCCCCGTGACCCGACTCCGGAACAAGCAGAAGATAATGGACGGATAGTAAAAGTTGTTTGTGGCACGTGCAATCTCCTAATTACTTAAAAAATATACGTATATTACATTTTTCACCTAAGTACGTTGTCATCATTTTACCATACTCTACAGTATTTTTACAGTCTTGTTTTTATAGCTGAAGTAATTGATTAACAAACGTGGTTTATTGTTCCAGCTAGTCGGAGATCCTTTTAAGAAAGCTTCTACTCAAGAATGCAAATTGGTCACATGTGCTTCAAGTTTTAGTAGTTTACTTTTGTTTCGGTATTTTGTCAGATCCCGACTAACCTCACTACAAATCGTAAGACAAACGTAGTTGTCACTACCCGATCTGTACTGTCAGCTCATTTGCACATGCGCTAAAAAGAATGCTTCGGGGTCGCACGGATCGCTGTCGTTTATGAATAAGAACCGTCTTAATTTACTTAGAAAAGTACGTGCTCCATCTCCGCCGATATTCATGTTGCTAATTTACGCCGCTCGTATTTCCGTAAAAATCACTGACGTATTTACGTCATTGGTTAAGATATGTGACGCATTAGACCCGACCCCCTTTGGGCTGAACGAAAAAAACCCTGCAAGATACAGAATGAATTATTTCCATGGTGAAACAGCGCCGCTCAGTGGTGAAGCCGCGCTACATCACTTTAAGCAATGACATAAATGCGTAGATGATTTTAACCGATTTACGAGCGTCGTAAATTAGCAACACGAAGATCGGCGGAGATGGAGCACGTACCTTTCTAAGTAAATTAATACATTTCTTATACATAAATGGAATTTATAACATTGTCTAGGAAAATTAATCAATTTATAGAAAGAGATATTTTAATTAATATTAATAAATACGGTAATATCAAGTAATTATTTCTAGTGCATTTTCCTTAATCCAGCATATTCATCGGCGATCCGTGCGACCCGGGAGTTTTCCTTTTGGCGCATGTGCAAATGGAACTACACTACGGATAGTGCTTCCTTAGAAATATTCATTAACCCTTCTGCTGCCCTGGGGTCATAATGTCCCATGAGGCCTCAGTTATAAAACTGTGGCCTTGTGGGTCATTTTGACCCCAGGGCAGCAGGGGGCTAAGCCACTGCTTCTCAAAATGTCTGGAATGAACTTTGGGGGATGCTGCAGGGTCATAACAGGGGTTAATCCGGAGGGTTACAGCATTCCTATATTTTACTCTATTTTAATTTTCTGGTCTAAAAATTGCAAGTGGGGCCTAAAACTTTTCTTTCTCCAAAGGGTGTGGGAGAGGTTGAGAATTACTGCTACTGTTTTAATAAATCAAGAGTGCAAGTGAAGAGCAGTAGCACTAAAACACACCAGTGGTCGACAGATTACTCACAATTTTAAAATATTAACATTTCTCCCATTAAAAAAGAAACAAAGGCTAAATGTTTTACAATCTGTCCTTTTCCCTGAGTTTTGTTTTGATCTTAAAAACCTGCTACCCAACGTTTGTGTTAACCGGCACAGTTACATTAAAGTTAGGTCTTTTGGACCAATTACCGTACAGCGACGCTAAAGACGCATTTTCTAGTTCTTACGAACTACATACAGTCAAGAAGACTCTTCTTTGCCTCATTCGTTCATGGCCTAAACCAATAAACATAAGATTTAAGATCATCTAACTTTACTTTCTTCAATACCATTAATTCACACCAGGGAAATTAGATTAGGTCAGCCTGATGAACTTGATGTAGTCTAGACGTAGGGGTGTCAAACTCGGTTATCAAAAGGAGCCAAAATGTAAAAACTTTGTCCAAGCCACGGGCCACTTTCAGCTGATACATTAACTCGAGTCAGATACCAGATCTTTTCTTGGTTGCAGGTTCATCAACAAGTTTGATCTGTCTCACTTGACGTTCTGTTGCTCTTTCCACATCAGAATCAATAATGATACAATGATCCAGCGGTTTTTCTGACTTCGAAGTTAGCCAGCTGGCAAGAGAAGAATATCGTAAATTATGTATTTATCAGGCAATTTTGAAGACAATATTTAACGAGATACAATATTTTACATTTAAATTATCATCTTGGGGGGCCAGCTTTGTCCCGCGGCTCTTGAGTTTGACATACGTGTGTATCTGCAGTTACATGTACCCGAATTTTGATCTTAAAAAACGCAAATAAATTCAATACACAGATTTATTTATTTTTTTACGGTTGATGAATGAGGTCCCTGGTGTTGTGGCTTTTTGAAACCCCTGCATCCCTGGGTTGTCCCTTGAGTCCCACGCGCGATAAACCCCTACCAATGCTCGCAGCGCCATTTGGGACGAGCCACAGAGCCGTCCGGCTGCAAGACCTTCGTATGAGGTAAACTGAACATTTTAGAAACACCAGAACTTGCCACTTTCCATCGAAGAGCGCTGCACCGTGACCAAGCTTGGTATCAACTCTTGCAACACCGCAAACTCGTCGACAGCTGAACCGTTGCAGCCTTTTTCTTTCCTTTTTTAAAATCGCTTCCAACCTGCTCAGAGGACGAACAAGGTAGAGAAAGTGAGCCAGTCTCAGAGCACTTAAGGTCCTAAAATGCTTAGGCATGTAAAGAAAAGGTCCAGTAAGAAACACAAAAACACGGAAAACACAAGCTGAACATCAGGATACAGAAAAAACACATACATTTCGTTTTCAGAAAAGCAAGACCCACAACCAAGTGATGGATGAGCTGATACTGTCAGGCCCTCGAGCAACATCACATACAACGTACTAAAGACGACGCCTCTAGGACGGTGAAGAGTAAGAAGTGGAACACAGTCGATATGTCAAAACATTCTGGCACCTGGAACAAAAAAAGTGCAGCAAAAATCTAAAGGTAATGAAAAGCTGGCGTGCACAAATCATCAGTGTTCGCTCTCTATCCGACATGCCACCAATCCAGGCTCTAAAAATGAAGAAAAGGGTAGAGGAAGGAAAGGTAGGAAGGATAGAAGGGAGAGAAGGGACATATCCTAGAAAACATTTGGATGGGATAGAAACAATGAGCAGGTTTCAAGTGGCAAGAAGTCAATTCTTTTAGGGGAGGGTCCGAAAACATCTTGGCTGGGCCGATGTTTAGTCCCAGCACCCTTAGCTCCAGTTCAAAACCCTCCCACTTTCTGTGACGGATGGTTCGTTGGCAGCAGATTGCAGTGACATCTCCAGCACGTCTCGCCAGATGTGTCCCAGCCAGGCTGAATCCTGCTCTGGTGACGCCATTTCTTATAAGCTCCGGTCTCGATTCCAAAAGCCGCGGTTCACTCCTCGGTCGACGCACCCTCCTCTGGCGAGAAAATGGCAGCCACGTCCAACAACGTAGAATTATGGGAGGCTGAAATGATGATGACAGTGTGTAGGAGAACAAGGGCCAGCAGGCAGATCTTCAGTCGCCCGCTGCACAGTCTCGTGGTGGCGGCTGAAGTGACCGATGCCCCCTCGGGTTGGCAGGAAGAAGGAGTCCTTTTAAGTGTGCCGCCTGAAGGGCTGTCCATTTTGGAGTCCCATCGGACGTCGCAGCACTCCGCCTCATTGTCTGATGTGTGATCTCCCAAGAGCCCTGAGAAAAAGATCACACTACATGAAAATGTTGACTTTTTCAGCTGCGAGTTCCTACAGAGTCCATGCAGCTCACACAAAAGACTCATGGGATTTACTATATGTATGTCTGTCATATGTACTGCATACTTTCTGATAGCACAATGTGAAGTCATGTGACATGTAACTATATAGAACGAAGGTCCAAATGAATATCCACAGTTAGAAGAGACGTCATACTATCAACTGAATGCTTTAGTAAGGACTTCAGTTTGGAGTCAATAAAACATGACTACCTTACGGACTTGGCAACAAAGTTCCTACCGTGGTCTCAAGTTCCTTGTCGCCTGGTTTAAGACCCTATTTCAGGGTTCCCAACATTTCATAGAAACTAAATTCCCGAGTTAGTCCTGAACTTCCAAGAGATATTTCAGTCCAACGTCATCCAACGTCTCCAAACCTATGGTTCTCAGTGTGATTGAGATTTGTCCCAAATCTGGCTATCTGTTTGAGGGTCCCCAAACTTTACAGGTGGTTCAGTGACCTCAGAGCTAATGAGGACGTGAAGGGTCAAACTCGATGACACTCTGCAGGATTGTAAAGATGGCGATGCATTGCTGGAAGTGTTGGTGACTCTTCAAGTCCTAAAGTGCATAAAACATGTCTAGGAAAGCTCGAATCTACTATACCATGATAACATAGCTATACGTATAGCTATGCCATAGCTATACGTATAGCTATACCATAGCTATACGTATAGCTATGGTATCATGGTATAGCTATGCCATAGCTATACGTATAGCTATGCCATAGCTATACGTATAGCTACGGTATTATAGTATAGCTATATTATAATACCATAGCTATACATATAGCTATGTTATCATGGTATAGCTATGGTATTATAGTATAACTATACTATACTATAATGCCATAGCTATGTATAATACCATAGCTATA